ACGGCTAGCGCAGATAGCCCTCGTGTAGCTTTTCGCGAAATTCAAAATAAAAAACAAACCACCCTCTGATCACCATGAAATTTTCAGGGGTTTTTGGATCATGCCACAGAGGGTTTCTAAAACCGCTTAATTTATTAACTTTTATATTTTTAAATAATTGACAATTATAGGTGGTGCATGAGTCTTTTGTTTGGGCAGGCTATTCTGCCACGTGTGTGAGGAGAGATTGCACAATCGTGAGGAATCAGCTCGTGCACCTAAATAAATAAACTTCCCTTAAGTGACACATATACATCTTCCTTCGCTCACTGTCTCTCTCTCTCAACGTATATTGTGTGTATTTTTGAGTTGGGGAAGAATAATGAACTGTGAGGAACATTTCATTGGGGGAGAAAATTAGGCTTTCCCAAGCGTCTTATACGCCCCCCTCCCCCTATATGAACAACTATTTTAATTTTCTTCTTTGCTACTGCCTGTGAATGATGCATACACACGCCGCCCACGTGAAGCCATGCCAGGGATTAGTTTCTTTGCTAGTAAGTTCTAAGGATTTAACTAAAATTGTATATATACTATGGCGGTGAGTGGTGATGACCTCTATCATTGCTAAGTTGGGAACAACTAACACAGATATCCCTCGTGTAACTTTGCGCGAAATTCAAAACTAACCAAGCTAACTAATTATATATATATCGCCATTTCTTAATGCTCTTCCTGAAAATATTGCTCATTGCAATATGCATAACGCTCCACAGAAGCAAAACTAATAAAGACAATGCCCCCCCCTCTCCAATGGCACAGCGGTATGTCTGCGGACTTGCAACGCTAGAAACCGGGTTTCGATACCCGTGGGGGGCAGAGCACAGATAGCCCATTGTGTAGCTAACAAACAAACAATAAAGACAACTGATCGTCGTTAACAGATGTATTTTATAAAGAAGCTTTTAAGCAGCTGTGATCCCAAGTATATCCTACACCTTTTAGGACACATGTTTTAATAACAAATTCATTATATGAAAACGTGTGTGTTAAAGGATCACAAAATATCGGGTACAAATTATTATTGCGACACAGACGACACTTTATCTGGATTATTTAGTAGTTTGTATATTACAGCTGTATTCTTGCACGGGAGTAATGGGCATTTCAACGAAAGTTGACCACTATAAAAAAATATGTGACTAAAACGGCTGTGACAATAGAATATGTCTGAATCTTGACTTACAATGTAAGTATTTTTCTAAATAATTGTATAGCTCAGATACGAAAAATTGTTCCTCAAAACAGCAGTACCTAGGTGGTTCAATGGTGAGTTAACGGATTCACAACGACAAAATCCGAGATTCGATTCCCCGCAGTAGACCGAGTGCATTTAACCCATATTGAAGCTTTACATTCAAACCAACAACAATCTGCTATGCGATGTTGTTTCCATGTGTCTTTTCATTTGACAAAAACACATTAACCATTATAGATTAATATTATAAATTATTATAGTTATAATTATTATTATAGATTAATATTATAAATTATTATAGTTATAATTATTATTATAGATTAATATTATAAATTATTATAGTTATAATTATTATTATAGATTAATATTATAAATTATTATAGTTATAATTATTATTATAGATTAATATTATAAATTATTATAGTTATAATTATTATTATAGATTAATATTATAAATTATTATAGTTATAATTATTATTATAGATTAATATTATAAATTATTATAGTTATAATTATTATTATAGATTAATATTATAAATTATTATAGTTATAATTATTATAGATTAATATTATAAATTATTATACTTATAATTATTATTATAGATTAATATTATAAATTATTATACTTATCATTATTATTATAGATTAATATTGTAAATTATTATTGTTATCATTATTATTATAGATTATTATTATAAATTATTATTCTTATAATTATTATTACAGATTAATATTGTAAATTATTATTGTTATCATTATTATTATAGATTAATATTATAAATTATTATTGTTATCATTATTATTATAGATTATTATTATAAATTATTATTGTTATCATTATTATTATAGATTAATATTATAAATTATTATTGTTATCATTATTATTATATAGTAATATCTAAACATAATTCAACTTACATAACACTGCAATGGCAATAACTATAAAACAAAATAGAAAACAAGCACGAAAATAAAACAATAACATCAGTTTTACTTGTGATATATATATATATATATTATATTTGTAATTATTAATGTTCCGACATGCATATGTATTGTTGTTTATAATGCTAGTTGTGGTGATATAGCTGTATTAAATACCTGTTTATAATGCAAATTGTGATGATATAGCTGTATTATTAAATACCTTTTTTTACAATGTAAGTTGTGATGATATAGCTGTATTGAATATCTTTTTATAATGCTAGTTGTGATGATATAGCTGTATTATTAAATACCTTTTTTACAGTGTAAGTTGTGATGATATAGTTGTATTAAATACCTTTTTTTTTTACAATGTAAGTTGTTATGATATAGCTGTATTATTAAATACCTTTTTTTTTACAATGTAAGTTGTGATAATATAGCTGTATTATTAAATACCTTTTTTTTTACAATGTAAGTTGTTATGATATAGCTGTATTAAATATATTTTTTATAATGCTAGTTGTGATGATATAGCTGTATTAAATATCCTGGTGAGATAAGTAGCTATGCCTCTTTTTATTTTTATTTTTTCTATTTTTAGAAATACCATCAACTTCGAATAAAAATTCTAGGAGATTGTTACTACTGTATCAGTGGCGCCCCCGAGGAAAGGCCTGACCATGCTGTGTTATGTGTACACATGGGCCTGAGTATGGTGGATGCTATTAGGTATGCTACATCAATCAAAGTGTGAAGTGCTAATGTTTAACGAGTACATTTTTGTGTGTGAACAAGTAAAAATACGCCTCATCAAAAAGGGCTCACTGACGTTTTGAAAAAGTTCATATTTTAGATCTTTTCTGCTTTTATTTATAACTGTCCAGATTGTAATAATTTTAGGTGTCATATGATGGATCACAGATTTCAGAAGAACGAGGAAGAAAGATTTGTCTTATCTAAAACTAATGTTTTAGCGTGTTTTTTGTTGTTTTTTTTTACTGTGACGTAACGATTTTTTTCTTCGACGTCCAATAATATTTACCAATATAATTCAGTACATTTTTCTTTAAGAAGCTGTGAAAGACTCAGATATATTACGTTGAATGTTATAATAAATGGTACATGGATAAAATTTACGTAAATTCTAGCAAAGGAACCTGTTTGTTTGTTGCATAATTTAGCGCAAAACTTGACAAGAACTATCTGCGTATAATCTTCCCTAATTTTAAGCTGAAATACTAGAGGGAAGACATTGAGCCAACAGCACCCATTTAAACTCATAGACTACTCTTATCTGACTGAATAGTGGGGTTTAACCGTCACTTTTATAGCGCTCGCATGGTCTCACACTACATAACACGGACTTGCAGCAACGGGATGCGAACAATGAATCCTCGGTTTCACGTCTGTAAAAGCTAACACTAGCATATGCCTGGCTGCCAGTAAAGAAATCTTAATAAATCATATTATTTTACCTAGTCACTGGCTCATTGTACCTTTTCGTGTAGTTTTGACATAATTTTAGCTCACAGATGCAACACAAACTCCGCAAGACCATAAGACAAAAAAACGTTATTACAATACAGTCTGTTATAACTTCACTTTAAAAAGTACCACTATACATTCTTCATCACTAAACTGACCATCACGCAGTCTAGAACTAAAATTAAATAATGATTTTTTTACACATATTTATACCCTGACAGAGGTCCAACTAGTAAGCTACTGCTGTACCGTACATGTATATGAACTGGTAAGTTACTGCATGGTCCTACCGTACATGAAAATAGGAGAGAATTTCTAATATAATTTCAATAATGTGCTATAACCTGTAGGTGATATATATTTATATTAAACGTATTTAGCATTTTCAATATGAGTGTGTTTTTACACGACATATGGGCTAAGAGGTAAGATCAAAAATCACAAGGAACAGATATAGACATCCTTACTTTAGAATTGCTAATCAGGGTTACAACAGTCAGTTAACAGCACCCACCGCCTTCATGGGCAATCTTAACCAAATAGCAAAAATGAATGTTACAGTTACAACGTCCCTATAGCTGAAAGTGCTAGCGTGTTTAGTGGCATATTGCGCTCGAACTGTGGATCTTTCGATCCGCAGCCCGGTACGTCCGACATGTTATACAGAGAATGTATGTTTCTATTGAATTGTGTATGGAAGTTATCAAAAATTTTATCAATGAATGCCACTGAAAAGAAATATAGTTAGTATACTTCGGAAATTAATATAATAATTAATGCCTTATTTCAAGCAATAACATCTATTATTAGATTCTATATAACTTGTTTTATGGTAAAACTCCAACAAGGAGACCCTAACCACAAATATATAACTCGTATAATGTGTAGATTGGTTATTACCACAGAAATCGTCTTTTGCAGTGGATTATAAGTTAAATTGAACAATTAATAAGATAATATAAAGTTTTTCACGGTAGTACCGTTTCGACAGTATTTCACTAATTATTGTTTTTCACAGAAGACGATAAATATTACGCTTCGTCTAAGTAACAAAATGTGTTCAAAATGAGGGAGTGTCTCGTTTCGAATGATTTAGTTAATGCACGACTATTTCTTTGTGGTTTTGCGACTAAAACATTTTATCTATAATTCTAAAATCTTTATGGGTTTTAAATTACAGAAAAAATTCATTATTCTTGAAAATGATTAGAAGACCTATTTTATTCCACCAGGTATGTCAATTTGTTGAAATGTTACTTCAACTTTGTAACTAATCTGGTTAGTGCAGCAACGGTTACTACAACTCTATAACTAGTCTGGTTAATGGCGCAACGGTTACTTCAACTCTATAACTAATCTGGTTAGTGGAGCAACGATTGCTTCAACTCTATAACTAATCTGGTTAGTGTAGAAACGGTTACTTCAACTCTATAACTAATCTGGTTAGTGCAGCAACGGTTGCTTCAACTCTATAACTAATCTGGTTAGTGCAGCAACGGTTACTTCAACACTATAAGTGATCTGGTTAGTGCAGCGACGGTTACTTCAACTCTATAACAAATCTGGTTAATGGAGCAACGGTTACTTCAACTCTATAACTGATCTGGTTAGTGTAGAAACGGTTACTTCAACTCTATAACTAATCTGGTTAGTGCAGCAACGGTTACTTCAACTCTATAAGTGATCTGGTTAGTGAAGTAACGGTTACTTCAACTCTATAACTAATCTGGTTAGTGCAGCAACGGTTACTTTAACTCTGTAACTAATCTGGTTAGTGCAGCAACGGTTACTTCAACTCTATAAGTGATCTGGTTAGTGTAGAAGCGGTTACTTCAACTCTATAACTAATCCGGTTAGTGCAGCAACGGTTACTTCAACTCTATAAGTGATCTGGTTAGTGTAGAAGCGGTTACTTCAACTCTATCACTGATCTGATTAATACAGTATGTTTACCGCAATTTCAAAGACCACAAGATAATTGATTTTAGTAACATATCAAACACCTTTCCCTGCATAAAGCCATCTCTACGCACCTCTGATTGAAACTAATCATGATTTGATCACATGGTGATGATATGGAATGTGCTACCTCGTTTAGCTAAATATTTTTGAATTAATACCTGTCTCCCCCTTTTTTTTTATTGTTTTGGGCGTACGCCTTTTTTTTATCGATATTTTTCTCCACATTAAACAAAAGCGTTTAAATAATTCATCAAAAAAAATGGATGACACATGAATGTTTATTCTCAATATTACCAATTGGCTTTGCTTCTCAGAATTAGAGGTGTTTAGCTATTTATAATGTAAACATTTAATCATTAATGTCCGATATCAAGGATACTAAAGTACTTACACCTTGTAAATCTATATTTTATAAATGCATTCAGACATATCTATTAGTAGTAGGTATTAAGTTATCTATTTTTGTGAGATATAATATTTGCTGAAAAGCAAATGTGATGATGTTAGTAGATTTTTAAGTCTGAAATTATAACAAACATGGATGCATAGTTTATATCAATTAAAAACTACACACCAGCACAGAGATAAACTGGGACTTATAAGAGTATATTAATATATATATATATAAATCGTTAAGCATGTAAGCAGCTTGATATCAAATCTCGTGGTTAAAAGCAGGGTACCACTCTTGTTTACATATAACTGTTTAATAACACAGCCGACACTTCGAGAACCTATAAAATGATTGATTTTCCCCCTTGGCGTTTGCTGTGTTTCTTTCTATTACTTGAGTAGCCATCCAGTAACTTTATGAGTCATTGGCTAACACTGGGATTGACTACTGTTTTCATCAATATGTGGGTTTGAACTGTCAAAGAATATTAAAACCCTCTTTGACGAAATAAGTATTCTTATTTGTCAAATTCTTTAACGTTATGTATGCATTTCTAGTCTTGCTGAAACATCCTGTGAAAACCGCGTTACATTTCAAGTAATCGAAGGTTTCGATAATATTATTCTGTTATGTTTCTTTACCAGTTTTATATAATCAAATAAGTCGTTTATTTATTCGAAGTTCACGCAGAGAGTTACCCAGGGCTATACATGCTAGCCGGAGTTACCCAGGGCTATACATACTAGCCGTCTTTAACTTGTAAGTGATATGCTAAAACGAAGGTAGCTAGTCAACACCACCCACCGCCAGCTCTTAGGATACTCTTTACCAACGAAAGATGGGATAGACCGTAACGTAATAACGGCTGAAATGGTGAGCATCTTCGGTGATGTGATTCGATCCCGCGACCCACAGATTGCCAGGCTAATCAAACAAGTATAGTAGCAATGACAATTCAACACAAAAATGCATGTTTTATTAAAATAATTCTTAGCTAAACTAATTGTGCTCGACTCGCAATCTGAGGGTCGCGGGTTCGAATCCCCGTCACACCAAACATGTTCGCCCTTTCAGCCGTAGAGACGTTATAATGTGATGGTCAATCCCACTATTCGTTGGTAAAAGAGTAGCCCAAGAGTTGGTGGTGGGTTGTGATGACTAGCTGCTTTCCCTCTAGTCTTACACTGCTAAATTAGGGACGGCTAGCGCAGATAGCTCTCGTGTAGCTTTGCCCGAAATTCAAAACAAACAAACAAACAATAAACTAATTGTCTTTTATTCGTCGCAATGCAGAAAACTGAGCGCCAACATTTTTGCGTCCATATATATATATGTTTCCGCTGTTATAAACATTTAAAAAATCCCCAAAGATAAGTTTTGGTTCTCCGATTGTGTTACAAACTATGTAACACATTACTCGTTTTGGGTTTCTGCCAATTATTATTCAGCGGTGTTAATAATGAGTAATGTTTCTTATGGTTTTGATGGATTTTGGATCTACAATTTGAAGACTGACTTATTACTACCCTATTATTATCATATTACTATCCTATTATCATCTTATTACTACCCTATTACTATCCTATTATCATCCTATTACTACCCTATTATTATCCTATTACTATCCTATTATCATCCTATTACTACCCTATTATTATCCTATTACTATCCTATTATCATCCTATTACTACCCTATTATTATCCTATTACTATCCTATTATCATCCTATTACTAC